CTGGTGTGCTTCTTCCATGTGGGCTTGGTTGCTTCTCAGCTATATGGCTGCTTGTTTATCTTGAAGCCTTTAAGACCCCAGATGCTGTATCTTTTGATAGCTGGACACCATCAGCTTTCTTCACCACATTTGCTTATGCATCCATTTTGTCTTCAGGGATCGTATCAGGAAGGTGGGCATCACAGAATGCTTGGTTATTAGAACAAAGTGTTCTTATATTGAGGGAGTACTTGAATAAAGATCTAATTTCCACATTTTAAAAAAAGTACTCCCGTTTGTATTGAAAAGAGGAGTGGCTCTTTTAGGGGGGGCACCAACATTTAAGAGGGTGGGTCCCCAGAATGTCAATCATCTGCTTCAGAGATCAGTCAGTTGGTCAGTCGGTCAGTTGGTTGGTTGATATGTCCCACCAAAATAAATCAAAAGGTGCCAAATTGACTGCTATCGAGTGGATTTCAGCTCAAAGTAATCCAAGCACTCTGTGAAGCCTTCCTAAATAAGTGTGGGGTTGAGGAGGGAAATTATCACAAGAGATGGAATCATTCAAGAGACAGGAGAAGAATGGGCAGGAATTGGTGTGACCAGTCAAGGGAGGAGATACTGTTCAAGTGGGAGAAAGAGAGGTTGGTGAAGACGATCGAGTGACGCTGAGCCCAAACGAAGGCGAGGACTGAAACTCTCCGTCACCAGGCCACCCACCGTCTGTTCAGAGAGTGGGCCAGTTGGGTGGCGAGGATCTGGAAAGGGGAGTTAGGGTTCAGTGAACCGAGGAATGAGTGGAAAGGAAGATGGTCATGCGACTCTGCATGATCATCTGTTGAAGAATTGAAAACGAGCCTCCTTTGGATTATGGAGCAAGGTCTGGCCACTTGTGTTTAAACAACATCTCTCGGGCTCTGCTTTGGTTGGTGCCTGTGCTTCTCAGGTTTTACCCACACCTTGTCAGTCAAACTCCAGGGTGGAGCAGAGTGGTGAGGAGCATTCTGGGTGATTCTGACACACACCAACATTTGAGAACCAGTGGTCTAAGAGATTCGTGGCGGAAAATGATCACCATTAAGCTAACAGGGCTCTGAAGAGCGTCTGAGAGAGTCTCAAAACGGGGAGCCAAGATTTCTAGGAGAAACTACTGGAAAAAAGAGAAAAAGGGAAGTGCCCTGACTTTGAGTCTGAAATAGAGCCGGGCATGGCTTTCATGGAGCTGAGAGAAATAGGAGCTGAGCCACCTGATTCCACTCCTGCTCCAAGCCTCTAATTTCTTGCCACAATGTCAATAGTATTTTCTAAGGATGTGTTGAGCTAGAATCCAGTGTGGTTTTACTTTTACTAAAGGCCTGGAATCACTTGTTTTCTTCTTTCTCCCTTGAGCTTAGATAACGCCTTCTCATTGTTGTTGTCATGGTTTGTTTTCATTTTGTATCTATGACTTTCAATTTAAGATCATCTGTCATATATGGTTATTTGCATTGTCCTATCTTTTCTTTGTCATAAATACTGCAAAATAGAAGCTCAAGAATTTAAGAAATTCTAAACAAACAAACAAACAAAGCAACAGAAAAGAAGAAAGCAGTACATGCCTTGGTTCAAAATTCAAAAAGTCCTTAAAGGGAAACAGCGAAAAATCTGACACCCCCACCCCCCACCCCCGTGTCTCACCTGCCAGACCCTTTGTCCCAGGGCCATGTTATCTGCTGCTGACATTTTCTTTTGCAGACATTCTTGAATACCTTTGGCCAGTTTTTCTACTCTGTGTTATTCAAAAACATCTCTTATGGACTGAGTTTTTTTTATATCATAAAAATCAACTCTTTGTTGGAATATGTTCCTACTGCTTTCTGACAGTGCGTTGTATTTTTACATTGAACACTTTTTTGTTGTTATTTACTTGGAAGTTTGCAGTGCAAATTGGTTTTCCATTCCATCATCCATCCCTGTTTTGCATTGTGACCTTGGTTGCAATCCCCACAAGGTCAGCGCGTTCTTCTTCCCTTCTGTTCTGTGCTTACTGTCCCCTGTCAGCCTCCCTTCCTGTCTCTTCTCGCCCCCTCCTCGTGGTCTGACCTGTCGGTTGCCACCAGGGTGCATCTGTGGAAACCGCTCCAGATCCTGGTAGGTGTTTCCCCTGATGCTTCTGCAAGTTGATCACAACACCGGTTTTTTTTCCTACCAGGTGTGTGAGCTGGATATCATCTTTAATTTTGAGAAGGCGTATTTCATCCTGGACGAGTTTATCATAGGCGGAGAAGTTCAGGAAACCTCCAAGCAATCGGCTGTGACAGCCATAGAAGACTCAGATATGTTACAGGAGGTTGGTGCCAGGTTGACGGCCCATGGTATGAGGGGGGGAGGTGAGGGGGTGGGGGGAAGGGAGAGTGATGTTTATAACACAGTGAGAGCGTATTTCATCCTGGACGAGTTTATCATAGGCGGAGAAGTTCAGGAAACCTCCAAGCAATCGGCTGTGACAGCCATAGAAGACTCTGATATGTTACAGGAGGTTGGTGCCAGGTTGACGGCCCATGGTATGAGGCGGGGAGGTGAGGGGGTGGGGGGAAGGGAGAGTGATGTTTATAACACAGTGAGAGCCAGTTTATCTAGATCAATGTTTCCCAAAGTGGGTGATTTCACCCCCTTGATGGTGCTGGAAGGATTCAGAGTGGCCACAAATATAGCAGATGCCTACACTTTATCTTAGTTTATGGGCTATCATACAAAGTTTTTAATTTCCAGGGCCCCCCCCTGTTTTTCAGAAAACAGGGTGGTGGGCCAAATAAGCTTGGTCTAGATCTTACAAGTCTTCCATGGTTCACAAGGTCCAGTCTCACCACTTCTCTCTCATCTCATTTTCACACCAAACATTTGCGTTTTCCTTCTGTGCGGGGCTTCTGCCTTACACGGGTTCAGAATCAGCCGACCCTCAAAGAACGAAGAAGAAGAAACAAACCTAAAGCAAACCCACGGCCACTGAATTGATTTGGACTCATAGCAACGGCGTAGGCTAGAGTACAGTGGCCTCTTTGGGTTTCCCAGACTTAAAGTCTTTACGGCAACAGATCGTCTCCTATTTATCCCGTGGAGAGTGATGTGTTTGAACCACTGACCTTGAGGTAAGGGGCTCACCGCTTAACCCACTACACCACCAAGGACTTAAACCCACTGGGTGATGAGGCTGGAGGTTGGAGTGCACCCAGAGGTGCCCTGGAGAAAAGGCCTAGAAAGAAATCAGCCACTGAGAACCCTTTGAAATGAGGTTTTATTCAGGGGTGGGGTGGGGGGTGGGGGGGCAGGGTGGCACGGGGGTGGATCGGTCACCATCCATGGTAATTGACTGGCCCTCGGGTATTGTGTACTTACTGTACAGCAGGCAGCACAGCTCTCAACAACGTCTAGTGCTTGAAACTCTCATGACCATGTGTAAGAGGCCGGCAGTAGGATGACCTTTGTTTTACAGGCCAGTAAACCAAGTCATGCAGAGGCTAAATGACCTGCCCAGCATCACAGTGCTAGTAAGTGTGTGGTAGGGATATGAACCCAGGCTACCAGGGACCAGAGTCTTTGCTCTTCACTGTTGGTGGTGTTCTTCACTATCAGCAGTGCTATCAAAAGCTTGGCGCTGTCATTTAAAGAATGACTTTATGCGATGTGCAAGAAGACCTTGGTGATGAGTGCCGTGTGGCCCCGAGAAGGGCGAAGAGCTGCACTCGGTGATTTCATTTGGAAGGTATCTTAGTGCTGTCTTATGGAAGATGGCATTTATCATTTTAATTAAAATTGCCTTCTCCTCCTGGGGATGCCGTGTGTGCATCCATAAATGGGGAACAACTGTGGCTTTCTTGCCAAGGGAGAAGTGGACCCTGAGGCACTGATTTGGGCCTACTCTTGACATGAGTCTTACACAAAAGGCAATGGGACTGCCTATTAAAACAGCCCGATTCGTTCCAGATGGGAAAAAAGAACTTAGCTAGTCTAGTCAACCCCTGGGATACTGTGAAGCAAAGTTATGCACCCCCCTGACCTTTACCCTTGCAAAGAGGGCGCCTGACCAGCTCAGTGCAAGGCTGGGCCCCTGAGGGCTTGGGGTCCATCCAACACTTACCACTTTAGAGCACTTCTGGCCATGACGTCGTGAGCTGGGCCCGCCTCCCATGTTTAGGCTGGACTCCCTGGGTGTCGGGCAAATAGTTCGTGTAGTTGGTTGTTGATCTGCGGGCGGTGAGCCTTCACCCAGAGGTACCTTGTAAAAGGGCCTGGAAAAGCTGCTTCAGCCAAGCCAGCTGTTGGAAAACCCCAGAGAACATAGCTCTACCCTGACCCCACAGGTCACCTTGGGTCCGAGTCAAAGCGGACTCAAGAGCAACTGGGGGTATTGTCATCATAACCGGACTGGAGGCTCTCAAAGTGGACAAAGTGTCTGTTCAACAGGGTTGCTAAATGGCATTCTTCTACTTTGAGAAGTGAGAGAGATGTCACGGTGCAACTTAAGTCGACACTAGACATGATTTTCTACCACACTTTCGGTTCATCTTTGAGCCGGCGGCTCTGCTTCCTAAGGGAACTGGTGCTTGGGGGAGTGGCTGCTGAGAAGGATGTCGGCATCGGTCAGTCCCCTCTGAATCTGTGTATCCGATGAGAGGAACATCACTCATTGCAACTTTCCGGGGTTCACTTGGCTCGCAGCAGATGCCACAGGGTGGGACGTTTTCAGAGTACTTGAAGAATCCTGGAATCTTACACAGCAGCTTTACCCATTCAGTCTCAGTTAAAATAGGTGTGCGTGTGTGAGAGAGAGAGGGAGGTGTGTGTACGTTATTTATAATTCTTCTCTCAGAGCCCTTGCTGTAGAATCTTCTCACAGCAGAAATTCACTTTGAACAGGATCTTTGGCACTTTTGTGCAATTAAAAGCTCCTTGAATTGGGGCCAAGACACAGCTGGGTTATCCGAATTCTCCTCAGTAGGGGAGGGAATTCTAAAGAGCCTATCCAGTGTCCACAGCGGTCCTACTTCTATGTGAATCTGGGAGGCAGCGCTACTTCAAGGGAGTCCTTGCTCTCAGGTAGGGTCTGCGCTAATTGGCATTTCAAGTCCCGGTGATTGAGTGGGAAGGCCTGATGGGTAGGCCCCAGGAGACCCTCCCATTTAGTCTGTGTCCTTGAACTTAGCAGACAGTGCCACGGCTGCCCTCTCCATCTCTCTTGCTGTGTTAACAGAACTTGCCACATGGAAAAAGAATGTCCCTCGTGGTCTCTCAGGCTCTGTTATCCGCTCCAGCAAAGTCACTGCACGTTTATGGGACCGGTTGAAAAATGGACCTTGTACATCTCTCTGCTTTAGGGAAGTTTAGAGTGGTTAGAGGCAAGCGATACAACTGCATACAGCACAGACCATTTTATTTCGGACTTCTGGGTTTCAACGCACATTTAGAGTTCCTGCAGGTTAAGGGAAGCCTTTGTGCCATGGCCTTGATTTCCAGAATACCCAGAAATGTTGAAGTAGGCCCCTGGGATTCCTTCCTTACCCCTGCCGAGCCTGTTTCTTAAACTAAAAAACCTGCCCTTTAGTGAGAAGAAGCAGAGACTTGAATTTCCAGCTGCCCAGAGATCATTCTGATGGTCCAGGGGATCATTCTGAGTGTGGAAGACTGGGCTCCGAATGTGCCTGAAAGTTGATCATTTTAGAAAGAAAGAAATGCTGTAGCTGGTTGGAACAGGCTTTAGAAAGCACACTGTTTTATGACTATGAGTAAGACAGATGGATAATGATAGAAAAGGATATTAGAAAGAAAAAGAAATTTGACTGTAATCGGTAACCACAGGGAAAAAAAGCCCTGGTGGCTTGTGCATCGGTGCATTGACTGCCAAGCCAGCCGCGTGCACCCACTAGCCCCGCAAGGAAGAGAGAGATGAGGCCGCCCCTGCTCAGCAAGATGTACAGTCTTCGAAACCCAACTCTGTCTTATAGGGTCACTCTGAGTTGGAATCAGCTCAGTGGCTGCTTGGGGACTATGGAGGTTGTTAGTTGCTGTCAGGGAACCTATATACAACAGAACAGAACAATTCCTCCTCCCACACCATCCTCACAATCGTCCCTATGTTTGATTTCATCAATGCAGCCATTGTTGAAGGTCTTCCTCATTAACTGCCCTGCTAGAGGTTGCAATTCCGAGGATTACCAGTGGGGGCAGCAAATAGAAGCGATTTTGACCACAAAAATAAGAAAGCCCTTTAAGGGAGGGCCAACTAGATACGTCCTTAGCCAAGCAATGGATACCTCTTAAGTGTTTGTGTAGGTGCACGCAAAACTGCTAAGTTTACCCCAGCACTGTCACCCTTAAAAGCATAAACCCTGTGAATAGCCAAATCAAAAAAATATATAGAAGGGATTGAGAACACAGAGTTCAAGTGCACACAAAATGGTGGGGTTAGGGGCATCACAGGAAATGTGCCAGTATGCAGGTTTGGGCCTTGGGAAAGGCTAGGACAGATCTCTTCAGGTTGTGCCAGCTTTAAACCTCTGTTCGAACCGTATGCTCAGGACACTGCCGGTCACACGTTCCTGGTTTGTGCAAGCTGAGTCCCACCTGAGAGGGCAGCTGGTGCAGTGTTTCAAAGACTGAGTCATTGGGGATGTGAGGCTGTGTCAGTAACGGAGGCCAAAGAACCGTGAAGCTTGTAATATGTCACCATCAAGGCTTTTGACTGGCCCGGGTCTCTTCTAAGGCTGCAGAGGGGACTCCACAGTGGCCCCACCCATGATCGGGTGTTTTTTGGTAAAATATACAGCTTTACATGTCACTGAAACAACAGGGAAGGGTGCCAGGCACTTACCTGATGGAAATAGTATACAATTGCTTTGAGGGATATAGTTTCACCTTAACAATTTTTGCAATCTGCTGTGATTTATCTTCTCACTCATTAATCCTGTTTGTACCTGCTTTGGTATTTGTAAGGCTATGCAGGCTCCACAAAACGTGGTTGGGCCCTGGCCAAGACACTGATTGTTGGGGGCTGCCAAGTTGTGTCTGATTCCGGGGGACCTCTGTGTAGGACAGTACAAACCACTGCCTGGTCCTGCACCATCCGGGTAATTGACATGGTCTGCGCCCGTCGTTGAAGATGCTGTGTCAGTCCATCTTGTTGAGAATCTTTCCACTTTTTCACGGACCCTCTGCTTTACGAAGCATGGTGTCAGCCTGCCAGAGTGCTGCCTCTGCACATTGAAAGACATTGGCAGCATCGGAAGGAGCAGAGGTCTTAGGGGATGGGCCTCTCTTGGCCAACGCTCGTTCAAGACACAGAAGTGCTTGGTAAGGAAATATAGTGATGGAGTACAATTATTTTCAGGAGAGGAGCACTGGAATTCTAAATAGAGGTGGTGTAAAAGAGGAAACTCCATCTCTAATCCTAGTTCTGTATGCATGCAAAAGCTGGATGGGGAACAAGGACGTGCTGGCAAGGAAGACTCAATACACTGTACACAGACAACCCAGTCTGAGAAGAAGCATGGCTACAGCACTGCTGAGAGGCGAGGGTGGTGGGACTGGGGCCCTCTGGCTTGGCCACGTCATCAGGAAAGATCAATTGCTAGAAAAGGACCCCATGCTTGTTGTGGAAGTAAATTACTTAATGGCTTTTCTCGCTCTATCGTCTTTGTCACGCCCAACAAATAACTGGGTGTGCCTAGACAGCTGTGAGGTGCTTGTGGCCCACCAAGGGGAGTGGATAGCTTACTGCAGTATGGCTGCGAAGCCCACAGAGCCAGAAAGCTGAGTGCCTTTCGGTTTGACTTTGCTGGTAGAGGAGGGTACCCCTGGCACCTCATCATCAGAGCCAAAGGAGCTCTGTAACATTTGCTTGAGCAGGGGACAGGTGACAGGGCCACGGGCCAGAGAAAGCCGGCACTGTGGGCTCTGCTGAGAAGGGGCTTGTCTTGATTGAGAAACTGTATCCTGAGTCGTTTCTGATCTTAGATTGTAAACTCCACCATCATGATCATTGCCTGTGAGTGCTGGTTGGCCACTGTAACAAATGATTGAACCAAGCAGAGATGTAGAGGCTGCTGTGGGACTGGCAGCTCTTGCCAGAAATGGTAAGAAGGTTGGAGAGGGGAGACTTGTGTGACATCGTTCGGATCAGCGTCGGGCTTTGGATGCAGATCTTCATTCGTACATCCACCTTGTGCAGTCAGAGGAGGTGAGAGGTGGCCTCCATGTTGTTTTCACTCCAGGTAATTAGGGGCTCCGTGGCAATGCAGGAAGCACTCAGTGAGATGGACTGACCCAGGAGCCACCACAGGGCTAGGCAGTCTTTTGTCTGATTATACATAAGATGACCAGGAGCCTGAGATGACGTGACAACTGCAGTTTCTAGTATCCCCCCAGCAGTCTTGGTGGCTTTGGCCTGTTTGGCGCAGTGTCATTCCCGGTGGACACAAGTCAATCCCTTCCTATGGGCTTTAGGCTGAGACGGGGTTGGAGTACTGCTGCGGGCCCTCGGGGTGGCTCACATGACAGGGGCAGGGGGCATTACAAAATGATACTTCTGTGCACCTTTGAGCTTCTGGCCCCCCACCCCCCTTTCCCTACTTAAGGCCCCAGGTGTTATGCGGAATATACATGTTTGGTGAGAAGAGCATGCAAGATAAAGCCCCTCCATCTTCTCTGGGCTTGTAATACTGTCGTAGCTGTCACCTCTGCCTGTCACTGTCAGCTCTGGAAAGATTAAGAAAGCCAAAGGTGTTGGGAAGAAAAGCTCTGGCTGATGGCATATCAGCAAACTTGGTATCTCACCATCTGATGAGGAGGAGGATAAAACGAATCTGTATACTTTGTAGGAAATCTTTCTCAAAACATTTGATAGAAATTCGTAAGGATGGTTCCTTTTTCCTCTAACTCTTGGCAATAAGCAAAATTAAATGTTCCCCATAACATACGCAAACGACACTGCAAGTGCCACAAGTTCAGGTCAGCGGTGCTGTCTTGGCGATTGATTGTCACTCGCACACCCATTCACTGCCATCGAGTCAGTTCCAGCTGAAAGGGACCCCAGAGGACAGAGGACAACTGCCCCCTGTGAGCTTCCAAGACGATAACTCTTTATGGAAGTAGAACGCCCCGACCTAGATTCCCTCTGATCAGACATTCATGTAGTGGTCAAACTTGGCATTTTCTCAGTTAAACGTTACTTAGTTCTAGCCATATCTATATGTGGATATAAGTTGTATCGACTTTTCTGGATTAGCATGTGAAGATTCGTTTTCAGATGTATTTTTGAAAACCTCTTTTCCATTATATCAAAAAAGGAATGAATGATGGTGATGATTTCACACCTGCTGGGGGAGGCAGGTTAGGGGACATTGTTTTAACCATGCTGTTTGTTCCGTTGTAGACAATGGAGGAATACATGAGCAAGCCTACGTTTTAACCCTACGTCTACTCGAAGACCCGAGGGGCTGCATATTGCGCACCTGCAGATGCAGCGTCTTGCATTGCGCTCGTTGACAGCGCCTCTGGCATCTTGCCAAAAATAACTGAAAGGGATCGTAAACTAGCAAGATGAACAGTTGTTTAACATATTTATATTTACTGCATTTCTGGATTAAAAAATGCTGCAAGCTCAATGGACTGAATGTTTCTTTGTAATGATTATACCTCTTGATATTTTTCAGCGTTTTGATAAACTAGTTGCAATATATATTTTTTTGCTAGCTTTGATCCTTTCCTAAAGGTTGAAATCTATGTTGGTTTGATTCGTGATTTTGAGTATAATACATATCTTTTATCATGACACCTTTTCTGTATATTTCACTTTCTGATTTTATGGAAAGTTCAATAATTTACTGTGCTTACATAATACTAATTTCAATATAGATAAAAGGTATCTAATTTTAGTTTTGTGAATTCATTTATCTTTTTCAGGATTGGATGTATGGAAAATAACCAAAGATAGTACAGAGTTGAATAAGTGTTTTTGATGCCTTAGAAGCTGCTACTAGCCTGAGATTTTAATTTTACATACTATGTATTTGTTAAAGTGTAAAGAGATACTGTGTAAGACTTCTTTTATTATTAAAAATAGTAGAACAAGAAGCAATAACAATAATGATCATTATTATTGCTAAATTATTACTTTAAAAAGTTCATGTTCAATGTAGTCTTAGTTGCCTGACAGATTTTGTTTCAAATGTTTTAATATTGTCTAGTATATTTGAAGACTTATTGCTTATCAGGTTTACTTAGAACAGCAATTCTCAACCTGTGGGTCGCAACCCCTTTGGGGGCCAAACGACCCTTTGACAGGGGTCGCCCAATTCATCACAGTAGCAAAATGACAGTTATGAAGTAGGAACGAAAATAATTTTATGGTTGGGGGGGGTCACCACCACATGAGGAACTGTATTAAAGGGTCGCGGCATTAGGGAGGTTGAGAACCACCGCCTTAGAACATTTAATGATGCTGTTGTTAGGTACCTTTGAGTTGATTCTAACCCATAGTGACCCGTGCACTGCCCATTCCCGGGTCATCCTGAGAATCATTGTTGTGTTGGAGCCCATCACTGAAACCACTGTGTCAGTCCATCTCACTGAGGGTGCCCGGCTTCTTTACCAAGCATCATGTCTTTTTCCAGGAATTGGTCTCTTGGTAATATGTCTGAGGTACCTGAGACCAAGTCTCACCATCCTCACCTCTTTTTAAATTGTTTTTATTAGTTGGATTTAATATAGACCACATCATTCCATATTTCAATCATGTCAAGTAGAATGTACAATTGCTACCACAATCAGTTTCCAAACATTCTTTTTCTGCATGGACTCCTTGACATCTCCCTTTTACCCGCCCCCCCACCCCCCAACACTGTACCCCTTGAGCCCCAACCCCCTTATTCTACTTGCTGTCCCCCTAGGTCCATCAAGCCTGGGTTTCATACACCAAAAACTGGAAAAACATATAACGCAGCTTCCAGAGGGTGATCTCCATTGACAACACCTCGGAGATGCACTCTGGGGTGGAGAAGGAAACAAGACACAACAAAAAGACAGAACATTTTGGAAACCAGATCAGGTTTACCCTGCATCATAGGGCAAATCTAATGACAAAGTTTTTGTCGTTCAAGTCAGATTTATACTCCTCTCTCCCAAGCACTCTGTTAGTGACTACTTTCCTCCCATCCCTAAACTGGGGATAGAGGGAGTTCTCCTGAGACTCATTTCCTAAGTTGTTCCACAAATGACTCTTGGGCTCCCACTGTCATCCACTGCCCTCTGCACACTGATTCTCTCAATGTATACTCTGATACTGATCCCTCCATCTTCCAATTATAGGGATTCCAATCTTTCAGTGACTAATGATGGTGTGCTTCCTCCATGTGGACTTAGTTGACATCTCACTTAGATGGCTGCTTGTTTGAAGATAAGCCTTTAAGGCCCCAAACACTATTTTATCTGCTACTCGGGCACCATATAATTTCTTCATCACATTGTGCTATAGCACCTGTATCTTCTGTGTTCCCTCGTTGAGGGCAAGTATCAAGTGGGCCATGATGCAAGCACCAATTGTTCTTAAGTTGGAGCAAGGATTTAGTGTGAGATCCAAACCCATTCCTGTATCTATGTTTTATTTTTTTGCTTCCTTTTTTTAAATTTGCTGTAATTTGGGAGTTAATACAAATACCATATCATTCCATGGTTCAATCATGTCAAACAGAATTGTACCATTGATTCCATAATAAGTTTTCAAACATATTTTTCTTCTGGGACTTCTTGACATCATCTCCCACTTATCTTCCCCACCTCTCTCTATCCCCCTCTCCCTGAAACCCTTGTTATATTTGCTTTCCCTGTAGGCTCAACATCCCTGGATTCCATTTACTGAAAAACAGAAACAAATAACACAGCTTCTAGAGGGGACCCCCAGTGGTGGCACACCTGTGAGATATACCTTAATAGAAACAAGCATAAGCAAAATATAACAGAATGACTGCCCCAGGATTGCCGGAATAATTCATGTCTTAATACAGCATATGGGGCATCGATGTAGCAAACCTTGTTTGTCCGCCAACCAACAGTATACCACCCTTGTCTTCTGCCTTCCTCAGACACCATGTGCTCTCTAGCTTAAGTCCTCAGGTGACAAGGGTGTCTGAGAGAGAGTCCAGTTCACCCCATGGAGTTCCCATAGGGGATCTCACCGATGCTGCCTCTGGACCTGTTGTGCATGCTGAAGATCCAGGATTTAGTGTCCCAGTGTTCCACAAAACCCGGCCTGGGTTCCTGGGCAGCTCTCAGATAGCCCACGTCAATTGTGCCACTGCTGCACATCACTAATGACCCTCCCCACCTAATGTTCCAAGTACATCCTCAGTCTCTCCACCCTCCACCTGGAGGTCAGCCTCACTCCCTCCCCCTCAACAGGCACGCACATATGTTCCCCCAAACATCTCTCCTCTCTTGCGCGGTCTCATCGTGTCAGTAAGGCTCATCCCTCTGACAGAGCCACCTCCTTCTCCAGGGGACCTCACCCCAGCTCCACATGGCTACCACTCAGCAGACAGCCTCCCCCTCCTGCCCCCTGACCATTTGATCCCAGCTGTGTGCGGTGCCCTCCGGCCAAGTGACCTACACAATACTTAACCTGGAGTGGATGATGTGTGGTTCATGGGCACTGGTCAGGCTCTCTCCCAGGCTGTCTGGTCCCCAGCCAGAGGACTGGATGGCCTGCAAGCTTGAGTTTGTGTCCATTCTGCTGCTTGTTCCTACAGCAGTGGACTCAGACAGTATTTGCCCTTTTGTGTCTGAGTAACTTGACTCAGCATAATGCCTTCCAGATCCCTCCATGACTAGAGGTGTTTCCTAGTTCCACCTCTGTTTTTCAGGGATGCGTAGTATTCCATCGTGTGTAGGTACCAGAGTTTTTTTTAATCCCCTCTTCTATTGATGGGAATTTAGGCTGTTTCCAGCTTCTTGCTATTGTGAACTGTGCTACAATGAACACGG